CATGGAGTGGTGAAGGCGGAACTTTGTTGCAGATGGAGTGCTGTGGCAACTAATACGAGATACCCCCAATTGGCCCGGCTGCTGCGATTGGTTTCATGGATCATCTTTCCTGTGCTGTTCCGTATTCACAATGCGCCTTGTTTGTTTGTCATGTGGTGCAACAACTGAATCAATCGTCAACTATCGAGAGACAAAGCTACTGATGGCAACAACAACAAAATATGAGGGTGCCGATGGGTTTGGCTCTGATGATGGATGGTTGGTCCTCGACAAAAGATCCAAAGGTCGCTCAGTGGATCGAGATACATGCATCTTTTTATGACAATACCGGAGGGCTTTGATTAGGTTTTTGGATTGACATTCACAGCTTTACTAGCTAACTAAGCAAGTTGGCGTGCGTGGCCAAGTGACGCCATTTTGTCAGTTGAAAGAGCGGTTGCAAGTTGCAAGGTGCAAGTCCATTTTGAATTTTCTTTCTGTCTTTCTGTTTCGTGCTCCGTGTCTGCAACAATATTATTGTACATGTTGGCTGGTGGAAGACATTTGTTAGCGTTGGCCACCATGAGTGAATTGAAACAAGAGGATACTACTGTGGAAAAGCCCGAGACGAGACGGGAAGAAACCATGGACACCCAAGCCGAAACAGCATCGAATGTCAGCGACACTTGTGCGAGTCCATTTGCCGATTGGAGCGACGAGGAACTAATGACCAAGGCCAAGGAGCATTACCAAAAGGAACAATTTCTCGTGGCGGCACGCATGTTGAAACACACCACCCACATTGCCGACAAGGATGTGCCCTTTCAAAAAGAAGTGGAAGAAAAAGCCAAACTCCTCAATCACGTCATTGCCGATTTGTTGGCCGACGTTGAAGAACACGTGGGTGATGACAATGGTGAACCAGCTAGCGCAGGCCAATGGATCAAAGGCGGCGAATACCACGACGATCGTCGCGATACACTCATGTACTATCGACTGGAAGAAGATTTGCAACTCAAATGCCGCCTCGAGTCTCCTGTCGAATCCAGTTTGTTGGTGCCCCTATTGGCGGTGTTGATTGAAACCGAACAGTACATGTCGTGGTTGCCCTCGTGGACCGTGCCGCGCATTGGCGTCGAGCTGGTCGACAAATTGGGACAAGTGGGACGCACCGAACAGATTCTCCGCATTGCCACGGCGGTTCCGTGGCCCTTCAAATCACGAGATGTCGTCATTCGGACCTGTGGAGTCGATGATATTGATGACATTCAAGAGGATCCTCATACTACTGGATCGATTGCCATTAGTTTGGTTTCACTCGAAGAAGGACAGGATGTCCACAAAAGTACCATTTCCAATCCAGTCTACGATCAAGATGTGGTCCATGTTCCTCCCATTCCCGATGGAATGGAACGAGCAGAATTTGACGGAGGATTGCTCATTCGGAAATGTCCACCCAATCACCCCTGTCTACGAAATTCCAGAGTCGCATATCCACCCGACGAACATTTAATGCTGGTGGGATTTTCACTGAGCTTGGATGGCAAAATATCACCCCTCTTTCCAACCGCCGTCATTAATTTTGTCATTCAAACCGTCATTACTCAAATGTGGGCCAAATTGTTGCAAGTTGCCGAAGAAATTCGAGCCGGAAGTCGGCCGCAACACGCCGAGGTGATTGCGGCACGACGAGAAGAAATATACGATTGGGTCGAACAGAGAATTGAAGGCATGTTTGAGCACTTGGCGTCAACAACAAATGATAAGGAAGGTACCGAAAATGGGAATGACAATACAACTGATGAAAAGAAGGAGGTGGAGTAAGAAAGTGAAGGCTCTAGCTAGTTTGATGGAATGATGCACCAACACAACAACAACATCTCGGTGTAGTACCCTAGCTCGACAAGTGGAGCCCCGGATTTTGAATACGGGGAGACTGTCGATCTTGCAGCGCGTCTTGAAATTAGTGCATTCTACATGTAGCATTTTGTAAAGTAACCTTGCCTAGCTATTGCTATCCCCGCAACACGTGCAGCAATTAGGACGCGCAAGGAGGAGTGCTCAGGTTTGGACTCACGGACAGAAGAGTGCTATCGTCACAGCAATGTTTTGTTGAAGTAGCGCCCCCTCATTCCGCGTCATTTGCCGAGGAGGAACAACTATCTGCAGCCAGTGCCCAGTTGAGAGTACTGAGATTGCTTGTCACTTTGTCGTCTCCTACCGGTAGCCAAGGTATCACTGCTGCATTGAGATTTTGGAACAGGCATGATTGTTGCTTACCAATAACTTCTAGTAGAACTAAACGCTTTGCTGTTCAGGTAGTCTAGTAGAAAAGTAGAACATCCTTGTATGTCCACCCTTCTCAGCCTGATTCCTTTGTCGTTTCCCCTCGCATGCAACTAGCATGCCCATCCTTGTCTATCTAAATGTTTAATCCCGACTTCTCATCTTGTTCAATTCTGCCTTGGCAGTTTCGTCCATGACATCTTGCGCGTCCATGTACCATCCCGTCAAACCGAATCGAAAGTAGCCACTGGACGGTGGGACGTGCACGGGAAGGACTTCATGATTGGGTCCCATGACACCTCCCGGCAATCGCGTATTGAAGAGCAGGGCCGTATTGAATTTGGGGACCAAGGATTCGCACCAATAGTTGGGGGAACTGGGATGATGATATCTATTGGCACTGGTATGAGGACATTGAAAGCGCAAGGTCCCACCCATATCGTTGTTCCAGGATGGTCCTTCGTCGGGTTCTTGTGTGAGTGACACGACAAAGGCCCACGTGCCACAGACATTGTCATTGTGCGTCGTGAGGAAATCTCCCTGGTTGTAATAGGTCACGAATAAATCCGCCAATTGGGGTTGCAGATCCAATTGGGGATGTTTGTCGGATAACAATCGTGCCACGGTGTGTCGTGTCGTATTGGATCGCATGTAGTCTTCCATTTCTTGTACCAATGCGTGGGTGGGAGGCAATTCCCATTTGGCATAGGCAAACAGTTGTCGTTGTCGCATTTGATGAGCCGTGTGGTTGCGTTGGGGGAGTTGTTCCAACGAACGAACCTTGGCATTGTTGGGAACCCGTCCGTCGCCTTGCTGGAAGCCGTCATTGTTGGTGGCAAAGTGAAAGGTTCGGTTGTTACTGTTCTCGTTGTTTGTATTGGGACAAGAAGAATCGCCCTCACAGTCCGTCAAGAGTTCTTGGGTATTTTCCCAGGCTTCCAGCATGCGCCGTCTCCAATCCAATGCCACTTCGGTGGGGAGAAAGTCGTCAATCACATAGACGTCGGAATGGTAGGATTGAAACTGGCGATTCAGGGTAGGTTGGGATCTCTGCACAAAATAGTAATCCGCGACGAGTTTGGAGACGACCGCCGCCAAGCACACACGCAGCCACCACCACAGATTGCTATAGAAAGAACTACTATTAATAGTAGAGTCCTTTCCTTTTGACTTTCGAGAATTCTTGCGAGGATTCTTTGCCATTGTCAACGACTACACCAAGAAAATGAGAGCAGATAGATAACGATATCGGACACCTTGGGACAGCCAAGAAAAGCAAACAGCTGGAATGATGATGATTGATGATTGATGATGAAGCACGAGGCATTATGCGAGGACCGCGGATAAAGGAAGAGGTGCTGGCAAAAAGATACTTTAGTTCGCTTAACTTTATCCCTACTTGACTTTTGAATTTGGGAAAGTAGCCGCTGTCCGCCCTCGCCACCTTTCGGTTCCACTATGTACTATGGATACGGTACCATCCTCGTTATGCTACTACCGGTACTGGCTCTAGCTCTAGCTACTAGTGGAGCGACGAACTGAAGTGGCAAAACCTCTTCCTTTTCTTGATGCCTTGTTGCTTCTGGCCTGAGCCAAGTTGGTTGTACGTGACAGGGAGTGTTGAAGCTGCCCAGCCAGAAGCAGAAATTGTTGAGGAGGCGAGAGGAGACCAAGAACAAGACCTTAAAAGGCAGGAACGAGATATCAAGGTACGGTATGGACATTCTAATAATCGCTCGGCTACCAAACACTCTAGAACCCAACATCCCCAACCATCGGTCAATCAGGCGGAGGATCCAAGCTCTCGCTCGAGCACAGGATGTAGTAGGATGCAGGCTACAGTAGCTGCTACCGGTACGGTAATCCATGCAGAAAGGAGAGAGGAGGAGATCCTACGTACAGGACAGGAGAAACGATATCATTATTGTACTCTAGAGCTACTAGCTATCACCCTTGCATGCATTCCTGCATCGCTTGCTCTATCCAGCCAAGCAGCAAACTACGGTCCCGTACCGTACTGTACGGTATACGGTATCGATGGCTCAAGCATGCAGGTTTGCTTCTCTAGCTATTAATAGAGTGTATTATAGCGCTTCACGAGGTCATGAGGATGACCCATTTCCTCTTGATTTTGTATAGCCCTGGATTATGGATCTTAGAGTCTCCTGTTCCAAGATCTCTCGCACAAATTTAGTTAAACAGGAGTCTAAGCCCTCTCTTTGAAGGGAACAATCTGGATAGAAGTCCCGGTTGTACTCCTTTGAATATCTGTAAGTTGATGATTACACTTTGATCCAGCTTCGCTACCGTTGATGGGGCACTTTTCTGCAAATCGTACCAAAATTATCATGCAGACTGGTAGTTTGTACGTTTACATGTATCATGCGATTTTGTCAAGTATCAACGCAGCGGTAGAGTACGTAGCCAAGGATAGGGGAGCTGGTGCAATCGTCCTCGGGTTTTCCGTGCCGATCCAGAATACAATTGACTGGTTCTTTGTACGGTAAACAATAAACAATGGTGTACCAGGCTCCATCTATTGTGTTGAATGCTGGGAATGGTATCCATAGCACGTCATTTCTTACTCGTCCATTCTTCAAGCTCGACTCGACCGGACTCGTGGCGTTACCGCGCTTATTTGCATGCTCGATGGCCAGAATTCGCTTCATCAGCTTTTCAACCGTCATCCCCCATTCCTTCCTCACAAAACAAAAACAAAACACACCACCAGCTCTCACAAAAACACTTTCATCCGCTAAAAACATTACTATCATCATGATCTTCTGGTTGTTATTCACCCTTTTCTTCTCCAAGATGACGAGCAGTGCTCTTACTAGTACTGACAGCAGGAGCAACAAAGTTGTCGCACAGAAACACCGCCAGTTTCTTTATACCGTCGCCAGCGCCATGTCTTTCATCCTTTCCGTGGGAACAAGCACCTCTGTGATGATTTTCACTTTGGTGGCACTCACTTCCAAAGTCCATGCGGCTATTCAGTAATCATGTCACTTCTTGGATGGCAGGTTGTGGAACCTGAAAGCCTGCGGCCGCCTTTTGGCCCCGTCGGAGGTCCAAATGATCGCATTTCCAAGCCTGCTTGGAACGATAATCACATTCAAGTCGGTCCTCATGAATGAGGGGGACGTCGCGCACCTCTACCGTACCGAAAGAATTTGGCGCGACGCTGAAGGCAGCATGATGCGATCAAGTCCGAAAAAGAAAGTTCAGGGGAACTGGATTGGCATACCTTTGGCGGGGCAACCTGCTGGCCTGCTGGCTGCTACACAAAATGAAACAGCACCATAGACAGCATTGGGAAGACTACTGCCTACTGGCTAGAGAAGAAAAGTCTTCTGCATTAAATTAGCAATCCTGTCTGTATTATCTGGCAAGCGTCAGTTTTTGGCTCTAATCGTACCATTACCATGAGTGACGTGTGGTATAGTACTTGTGTCGATTGGTGGTCAGGAAACGCTGTGCCGACGCAGCACTTTGGTGGCATGACGATAGTTGCACACGTGGGGTGAAGCTAGCTAGAAGAGAGGGTCGGGGGTGCATCTCTCCGGACAACAGCCACAGCACTCTGTCATTGTTAACTTAGGAATTACAAAGTCCCCGGAGGTGTCAGCGCCATCTGCGGTCCAGTCTGTGATCCACTTTGCTTTACCTGCCTGCTCTTTACTTGGAGTACTCCTGTAATATTAGCTACTGTGGCAATCTCGTTCGCTCAAACCAGGTTTGAGCTGGAGAAGAGGATTCTACCAGTATGGGTTAGAAGGGACTAGCTAGGGTGGGAGGAATGAATAATAACTCGACTCCAGAGGATGAATGCAAGGTGCAGGGGCACAAGCCGGGAAGCCAAGGGAGCAGACCAACTGCACAACCGGAAGAGAGGTGTCTACTACTAGCTAGGGTGGAGAATGGAGGGTGGAGGGAAGGATAATGCTTGTGGTGGGCAGAGATCCAGCCAAAGCGCAACAACCGAAACAATGCACTTCTACCAAAAACGCCAGAGCTAAGTGAGGAGCCGAGGTGTCGAGTCACACACTGGACTGGCAATTGGATTACCGGTGTACCGGCACTCAGGGCTTACCTGTAGACGTGGGAATGAACTATCCCACAACGGCCCATTGTTCCGTCCGCTTAATGTCGTCAAAGTTATGCCCGGAGACAATACATACATGTACGGTAGAGGGAGTAGTGTACTCCTGGCCAAGCACATTGGCCATCGCGCCTGGCGACCAAAAAATGAGGACAAAGACTGGATGAGTCGTGCATTCGAATCAGCGATGGCACGATTGACGAGTGGATAACTTACCGTTGCCAAACCAACTCGTGAACCACCTCCAAAATGGCGAGACAACCCCCAATGAACCCCGTGCCTCCACCCCAAGTGACTGTAAAAGGTGACATGAAACAAGAAGAAACCTTCGACAAAACAGTGCCACAAACGCCGACAATAGTGCTGCTTCACCAGACAAAACATGGCGAAAGAAGCATCGGAAGCGGCCATTGTTCGCACCCATCATTGTTCACACCCATTATCCCCGACGATAGCATTGGCGGCAGAATGAAATAATGGAGTTGACAATGCCGCGTTCGCATGAAAATTTAGAAACAAAGGAGCGGGAAAGCGAGCAGTACAGGATGGCTTCAAACCACAAATACAGTTCCGCGAATGTGTGTAGCCAGATTGGCCACCGTGCATGCTCAGCATTCGTCAACTCACATTTCTTTCAAAATGGAGTCAAAATGGCTATCAGGAAGAGCTGTTTTGGCTACCCAATGAGGGTGTTTGCGAGTGGGCAAATACGGCAACTCCATTTTTGCATTTGGCGAAGTAAGCACTAAAGCAAAGTCAGTTTCATCCCCACTCGCAGAATAGTTTCTCGTCCTGGTGCAGCGATTTCTTCGCTGAATTCTTCTTTCTCGCTGATTCGCTCATGGGACCATGTCGTCTAGTAGGCGCAAATCGCCACCACCACCGTACAACCAACTGAATATTCGCTCGCAGAATGGCGATGAATGGAATCCCAGCGATGGTACAGGAAATGTGACCACCGTGCAATTTGACAGCAGGAGTGCACTCGCACAAAACTCGTCTCAGCCATATCCCACCCCGTATCACCCATACCCTCCGTACGTGCCTTATGTCGTGCATCCCCCTCCATTTGGGTACAACCCGTACCCATATGGATGGAACAGGGCAAATCTTTCCTCGCACATAGCGCCGCCACCGGGTAGGTACTCTGGTGGTAGCAATAGACTGGTGTCGTTTACTGCCCACAGTGCTGCTACGGTACCATCCACAGGATTGCGAACAGGGGAGTACGTGGAAGATCCATCATGCAACCCTTGTGCATCCAAAGAAGAAGCTAAAGCTGAACTCATCAACCAGTACGGTGGATTCGTTGATGTGCATGGCGTCAGTAAGCAATGTATCAGGCCTGACGGAACTGTAACACGCAATGATGGAACCAAAGTGTTCAAGTTCTGTTGTCGTGTCGGGGACAAAGATGATTTGGACTCCCAGAAGTGTCTCTGGCGTGCCCAAGCAAGAGATATGGGAGAACTGTCCATGTCTAGTGAAAAGTACAAGATCTTTATCAAGACATCGAATGCAACTCACAACCATACCACACAGAAGCAACCGAGTCACTGCAAGGACCAGTATGGAATAGCACCTGCATTGGTCCCACTGGTGCAGAAGTTTGTGACAGAAGAAACACGCCGAGGAAGATGCATCCTTCGAATTACGGCAGACGAGGTGTTGAAAGCTGTTACAGCAACTGTCCGGAAAGATTCTGTTTTCCTTGACCACCGATACCATGTCGTTGACAATGAAGCACGCGATCATTTGACAAGGCAACTGCGAAACTACGTAGCCAACCAAAGGGAGGCATTTGTCAAGTCGAAGCTTTTCGGCCACTCACAGATCAAGAGTAACGATGTTCTGCTTCGCGTATTATCTCACTGGGAGCTGGTGGTGCCGGATTCGTACGAACAGAGATGCAACTACAAGTCTCCTGAGGAACTAGCAAACGCATTGCTTGTGTCTAACCCTGCTGCAATGTTGACTATGAATCTTTCAAGTGGAGACCTTGTGGAGCGGTATCGATCCACTGTGGTACCGCACGAGGAAATGAAAGCATCGAACTACGACGAAAGGATTGAAGGCGCCTTTTTGGTCTTCTCAGCCACTGGTCTGTTCCAGCTGATGCATCTTGCTCTACGAAGACGGGGTACCAGACAGCTCTGTTGTGATGGAACTGGTGGCATGATACGCGATCAAAGTTGTCTTATCACTGTTGGAAGCGTGTCTGTTAAACACCGAGCCTCGTGTGATGAAGTTACGTCATCGTTTCGCCCAATTGTGTACCTCAGAGCTGGTGGTGAACGTTTGCATCCATATTGTCTTACACTCTATGCAATGAGGGATCTTTGTTTGCGTTGCTTCGGAATAGACTTTGAGATCGACTGGGGTACTTCCGATGATGCTGACACCTTTGTGTCGGCACATGTTTTTTACAAGAAGTATCCGGCTCTTTGTGACAACGATTCAATCGATCTGGCTACCAAACCAGCTGCTCTGGTTCATCGCGAGTTTGCAATGGAGGAAATAGAGGAATATCCTCCATCACCGAGTTATCTCCCGCTGACCCAGATTCCTGAACCTGATACCGGTCATCCATGCAACGAAACAGGTAGCATCAAGAGCAACGACAGCGATGATGACTGTATTCACGACGAAGCGGTGTTGAATTGCTATTTTCATGTAACCCATGCATTTGCCACCAAACGAAGCTACGTTTCCAAGATGAAGAACAAGCAGTTTGCCGCGCCTAAGGGAACTGCTTACAGGCATGTTTCGAACATTGCAAGCACGAAGACAATGGAGCAACGACGTGTTGTCACAGACCTATACTTAGAAGACTGGAGAGAACATCGTGGGGAAGCAAAAGCAGCGGATCATTTGGAGAATGAATATTGTACTTATCCTCGCTACAACTGGAATTATGCCTGTGCTGGAGAGGTTGGAGTGTATCCTTCGAACTGTCCAAACGAAAGCTTTAACAGGCACGGAATCAAGAGCATCGCCACCGATTGTTCAAAGAATGCCTCACTAGCTGCATTCCTTGTCCACATTGCACCACGATTATTGGAAGAAGATTCGAATTCGCGGAGCGATCCATGCACAATCGAGATACCACGGTGTGCTTCTATCTTTGCTGTTGGTGTCACGGGCTTTCTGAAAGAAGGAATCGATGTGGTGAAGCTTGGAGAAGATGAGTATGGGAATGCTTCCAGTTGGCTCTGCAACTTGCGACACAAGATTGGTGTTCCCATAGACGAACGACGCATTCGCTTGGTACGGGCATCACTCGATGGTGACAAGAGGCCATTTGAGAAGGAATTGTCATCAATAGGACTCTGCTTTCCAGAACAGGTAGCAGATTCGATGGTGAAAATGACGAGTACGGTGTGTCATCTGCAATGGAAGCAAGGCAACATAGTCGGTGACTGTGAGGATTGCGTGAAGCATCTTGGGTACAGTTGCCCTGGTGCGATTTATCTTCGAAGCAAACACAATTTGCTGCTGTGTTCCTTGAGCAATCTTCGAAAGACAAGTGCCAACGCAAGAGGTGATGTGGCAAAGGCGAGCGGCAGGGGAAACATCAGAAAACTCTATCAGGGTGGTCTTCCGAAGAATACGAAACGCCGCTGCTTGTCAAAGATGATCGAATCTTTTGATGCGTATCTTGGCACGATGAACCATCAACAGCTGACTAGATTGTTTCTGTACTTACGTTTGTTTCGAGTAGACCAGACAGGAACAGATCCTATGAAGGGGCAAACAACACAGACCCTACTGGATACCCTCGTTTCCTTCTCAGATAATCCCACAGGATACCGTGCGATGCTATTGGCAAGACCTAGGGAGCAAACAACGTTCGGTGTGGTGAAGACAATTGCCACCAAGATGCACACTGCCAGCGTACCCCCCGAAAAGGAGAACAACAAAAAGTGAAACCTTCTCTTACAGAGATGTATCATGTACTACGTAGCTAGGTAACTATTATTAGACCAGTACGAGGAAAAGAACACGAAAAGTATTATGTAGTCGTAGTCGGTAGCCCTTGGATTGGTAATGGTTGCTGAAGAAGTGAGTTGTGTCATGTGTCGAAGTGTCGAATTTCGAAAGACAAATTTCCTCTGAGCCAAATAAAATTTGGCGTGGTTCATGCCGTCATTGGATCTGTTGCCACCGATGGAGTTGCTCAAATATTGCAATGCGGATACTCCACTGGGAGTATCTTGGAGGTTTTGCCGTACTTGGTTGATTGTGGACGTCCTCGAAAATGCCACAAATCGGTAGTACGAGCATTGGGAGCACCCAATTTTGTCATTATCTTGCAACGAATCTCCATCCCAGCAGCACCATGTCTTTACCCAACGATGACGTTCCCGGTCTGGTTGAACCAGGTGACGTGTACCCACTTGACAAAGGCGAAGACGTTGTGGACCATCCCGTTCCATCAACTGAAGCCAAAGACGTTGTGCACCTGCCGGTTCCGAGACTTGTGAAGAATCCCGAGACTGGGAACAACAAGCTTGTGGACCACACCCTTGAGCAGTACCAAGATGAGCTTGCATTCTGCTCCTCCAAGTTGGCAGAGATGCGTCGAAATGGAATGGACTTGAAAAGGGATGGCAACTTGAAGCTCCACAAGATCAACAGGGAACGTCGTGCCAATGGGTATCCTGCCATTCTTGGCTTTGTCTATGAGGATGACATCACTGGTGTTTGGCTGGTTCGCTACCTTGTGGAAGATGGAAGCAGATCCATGCTGCCTTATTGCAACGACTTCCCTGACACCTTCATTTATGACAGGCTCTTCAAATTCAAGCTGATCCTTCCTGATCCCTTCTCGGAACCGCACAAGACAAGCCTTTTCTGTCGCATTTGGGGATACAATGAAGACGAGTACATCAATCGCTACCACCGTTGGTTGGCTGACATTGACTTGCTCACCGAGGGTGTTGAAGAACCCATCGAAGTGTCCAGCCCATCTAGCAGTGGTAGTGACTTGGTCAACGCGGGTGGTGTCAATCTCAGGAAGCTTGAACGTCTCATCGACAATGGACCGAATTCCCCTGGAACTGGATCTTCTGGCATTGCATCTTCTTCGCCTGGATCATTGGGTGGATCTTCTTCCAGTGGGATCATCTTCGATTATGACTGTGGTGCCACCGGTGATGATGGAGACCGTAAACAGGAAGCTATTGGATCCCCACGTCTTACTTTGGAGAAGATCGCGCAGTTGGATGATGAGATTGACGAGATCCTGCAACGTCCCTATAAGTGGGGTATCATGACTCAGTTGCCGGCGGACGAAGACAAAAGCCCTCCAACCGAAGCCACCAACATCGCTCCAACCAATGAAGCTGCCGAGACCCCTTCATCTGATACGTCTCCCACGGATAGCAAGCCCCCTGCCAAGGAAGACTCCGACGTGACACAAGAAGAGACCGACAGCAATACTGAAGAGTCGGAAGAAGAGGAGAGTCCTAAGAAGAAGCAGAAAACATCGGAAGATGAGGCAACCATCGATGGGCAGCAAGAAGACCAGGATAATGAAACTGATCAAGCCGAAACCCCTTACGGTGTCGAAATTCTCGGCACTGGAAGCTTCTCGTATTAGAGAGCTCACTGTAACATTCCTGGCATCTGTTTGCATCTCTGAAGAACAATGGTCATCCAACATCAGCGGTTGTTGTGTGGTAATGGGTGTCATTGTCTTCATTTGGGGTTGTCTGAGAATCTTGATTATGGTTTCAGTCTCGAGCAGCGGTGAGTATGCTTTACCACGGCTCCATATTTCGATAGTTAACACTCTAGATTCGCGCCCAAAAAATACTCTAGCTTGCCGGCTTATCTTTGTATACCTGTATGCATATAAACCTTTCGCAGGCCAGAAAGGGGAGTCCAAGAGTAAGATAATACCTACGGTAGACCTCACAAGACTTTCTCCCCAAAGGTTGGTTGATTCCCTAATACCCTGATCCCCAGTTTTGAGTCGAGTCAGTCCTCGGAGGCTCGGAGGCAGATAAGGGAACAGTGGGCGAAACAACCGCGCGTGCTGTCAGTAGTATTGCATGACTAGCCAAGGTATCTACCGGTAGAACAAGGCTTGTAGATCTTTTTAAAATGTAAAGAATCTCATTGCTGCTGTCTGGCATGGCTACCGGTGCCTTCGCTGCTCTCTTCAAACCGTCGCACGACGGAGGTGCAAACAAGCAAATCAATGTTCCGAAAAATGGCTATCATACGGAACCGGTAGCGTAGCTAACGAGGGCAACAAGTGTTTCGCCTGCTCGCGGATTGATTGATCATGATCATCGTTGAATCATCCCAGCGAACCTTGACTGAGAATTCTCTGGGTCAGTCGACCTGTCGCTCCATCCTTCCTCCTCCACCACCTCCATCAGCTCCTCTGTTCCTCCCGAGCTCACAAGGTGCACGCAGATCGCCCCTTGACATTTTCTTTGCTCTTCCAAAGTCTGTTGGGACTTAGATGTCTTCAGTCATCCAGCACCATCGTTGTCTCATAAGACTGTCTCGCTGGTTGCTGACCCGGGACTCAGCGATATCTTTCAAATGACTGTAAAATCTTTCCCGTTCTATTTTCTTCGGCTACCGCAAGGTGTTTTGCCATGTTTCATCCATTGTTCGTTTCAGTTGCTGTATTCGTGATCATTCTCAATTCAATTCCATCAATGCCTCCATCACAATTCAATTCAAACCTGCCAAAACACATTCAAATACCACCAAAATACCATTGCAACCATGGCACCTCTAGTACCGGTAGTAGCAACAACAGCACCCCATCGACTTCAAGTCTGCCGTGTGGCTCCTCGTCCTCTCCAAAAGGACCATCCATGGCAGCCATCCTTGGCAACTCCCACGACTCGCGAGCAACTGGAAACAATGCGTCAACTGGAATCCTCCACGTATCTGGCCGAGCATTATTTTTGTTACGAGCAGTCATGCATGACGGTATCGCGTTGTTATACCGTGGAATATCTCTACCAAGTCGTTGACTACGGTGGTTTCCAGCGAGATGTGGTGACCTATGCCATGACGCACTTGTTGGATCGTTATCTGAGTACTCGTTCCGACATTTCCTCGCTGTTAACGGAACAAAATCCCTATCAACTCATCTCCTTGACATGTCTGTACATGGCCGTCAAGTTACTGGAACCCAACAACATTGGTATCGAGTCTCTCGTGGCGTTAACCAATCACGTCTACTCGGTACAAGATTTCCAAGACATGGAATCCAACATTCTGGACGCCCTCGACTGGCGCGTGGCCCACGGTCCCACGCCCTTGGCGTTTGTGCAACATTTGCTGCAACTCTTGCCCGACCACCAAAAGTTGGCATCGGCTCTGTATCCACACGTCCAGTACCAATTGGAATTGGCCGTGTCCGACTACAAGCTCTCGTGCTTTCACAGCGACAATCATCGACCCAGTCAGCTCGCCGTGGCGGCCATTTGGAATGCCTTGGAGGCCATTGATGTCAGTGTCTTTTCCACACACGAAAAGCAACGATATCAAGCCCACGTGGAACGGGCATTGGGGAGACGAATGGACCCGGAACTATTGAGACGGTTGCAATCTACGTTACGGGAACTCATGTTGGCGGCTTATACGTGGTGTACATCCTCCTCTTCTTCTCCTACCTCCTCACCATCACCATCTACATGCAAGAGCACCCACAAGACCACTACAACACCAGATAGTCCATCCATACAGAACAACAACAAGAATATTACCAACCAGGCGACGGATAGTGGGAACAACCAGGGAGAAACCGATGCGAAAGCGGAACAACGGGATGATACTGCTCCTTGCACGCCTCCTCGCGACATCAAAACCAATGTCAATCGATCTAGCATTACCAGTGCGATTAGTGTCCACAAGGAGCAGCAACAAGAAGAAGAAGAGCAGAATGAACTTGAGAAGAAATCGGGGCAAAAGACAGAACATGCGTCATCACCCAGTCATGACAGCATCAACGATGTTTCGGAAGTCGAGTGGTTCCTCTACGCCTCATGATCTTAGAAAATATCCATGATACCTTGCTAGCTAGATGGTAGGTAGCTACTCGTCCGCTGAAAGCGGCTTTCATAATTCAAACTAAGTCTACACGTCCAGCAAAGTCAACATTCTTTTCCCATACAGTTAGTTACTTTACACCAGACCCTATCATCTATTGATTTCGCATTCCCCCGGCTATCTCGGCGGTCCAGCGAGACTGACAGAGGGGTCTAACTAGAACTTCGCCCTGATGCGGAGCGATGTTGAGGACCTGCCCCCTCGGGCTATCTGAACGGTCCAGCGAGGATGAGATATCCTAAGGAACAATGACCCCAAATAAGATACATACGGAACACAGATGATACTCTCTTCATCGTGGATACTGCTGCTGATTTGTGGAATGTGAGTCAGTCAGGACGCGGTTCGATGCCCCAGAAAAAATTCTTGAGTTTGAAGCTTCATCGTGGATGCCAAAACTGATCAAGCTGTCAACAATGGTTCGATTCTTTGGCAGACCTTTGAGAAAGGCTCCATAGCGCCTCAATTTGGGCAAAGCTGGGATACAGCACTCTTTCTTGGTACTCTACTAGTAGTAGGGTGAGGATCCGACTGTCAAGAGGAGTTATCGAAGTCGAAGACGTCGACGCGTGGAAAAATGGTCCCTGAATCTCTGAGATTTAACTTTGTAATTACGTTAAATCTTAAGGATTTAAGCAACTCAATGCAGCACCAATCCAACACGCACCCACCTCATCACCGACACAACGGAGCACCAACAACAAACAAGTAGTCTACATCGGCAGGTCTAGACTATTGCAGGTGTCAAGGTACCGGTACCATCTATTCTCTGTAGTCAATCTTCCGATAACGACCACAAGACAAGATGAGTTACCGACCGAGTGGGCTTCCGCCCATCCAGGACATGCCACCACCAGGTGGTTTTCCTGAGCAGGTGCGTGATGGAGGGATGGGGTGGGATTTCTGCTCTCGTACTTTGCTGCTTCTTACCTGCCTTTGATCTTTTTCGATGCCATATTATTGATTGATTGATTGTAGGACATTACGAAAGCCATCAAGTCACGCGGCCCCAAGGGATGGCAGTTGTGGCTTGGCTCGAGCGTGGTCATGATGTACGGATTCTACCGTGTGGGCCAGAACAACCAGGAGCGTGCTGCCATGAAGCTAGCGGAGCGTCGATTGCGCTTCCAGATGGCTCCTACTTGCAGGCCGAAGCCGATTTGGAATTCCTCAAGCGTGAACGATCTCTT